AAAGAAGGCTTCTGTGGCTTCAGTAGTTCCAAAATGTTCACCCTAAAATTTAAAATGAGTTTTAAAACTTAAAGAAAAATATTTTAAGGGTTTTCTCTTTAATCTATTTCTGCAAACATCTTTTAAATTCAAGGAAAATGCTCTTTGTAAACATTCTACCTCTTCACTATTTATTCTGACTTTTGATTTATAAACTCACATGGCCATTTATCCACTCTTTATTTAAAATAATTCAGTATCGCACAACATGCTATAAAAGTTCTGGAATAGAAGTCTTTAACGCTTTAGCAAGAACTGTTTTAATTTCTCTAAATAACTGATTTACAAGGAGGTAGAAAACGACAGTGAGTAGAGTTTGTAATTAGAATAGGATGCTATTGTTACATTGCCTAAGAGCAGAGATCATACTTTATACGTTTCTATACTCCACTGCCCAGCACAAGGCCTGACATACCATAGGAACAAAATAAATACTAAACTGAAAAGAATTATATGTTAGGAATCCCAGTAAACATGGCAAAGGGAACCAAATGAAAACCAGCTTAGTCATGTACAAAGTAAGGCTTAAAGAGCTGTTAATAGATCTCAAACTACTGGCTAAAGGCCCTAAAAACATGCTTTGGATCAGAGCTTCACAAACGTTAATGGATATAACAAATCATCTGGGGCCTTGCCAAAACGCAACTTCTGATTCAGCAGCTCTAAAGTGAAGTCTGAGATTCTGCATTTCTAACAGGCTCCCAGTGATGCAAATGCTGCTGATCTGGGAACCACATTTTTTGAGTAGCAAGTTCTTGGATAACCTATTCCACTAATATTCAAAACATTATGGATCACGGACTCCTTGAAATATTACCCTTTCAATATTTAATTTCTTCATTAAAAGCAACCCTGTATGATACGCTAGGCTCAAGCATTTTTCAGAGCCTCAGATTTCACATAACATTTAACTAGTCCTCAATCTATTTGTCATGGGTATAACAAAATTTTGATGAAAAACTTGGAGAGTTTAGGATGAAAGGCAGAGTTCACAATTACTTAAATCAGAGTATCCAACTTGCTCATCAGCAAGAGATCCTCCCCTCTTTCTTTCATACATATTTACTGAATGCCTACAAGCCCATATACTTCTCAGCCATATTGCTAACCCACAAGTCCCTACCTTCTGACCTGAAACTCAGAGAACATATGGATATGTCAACTCTGGTAAAAATTTAAAAGTATTATTCTGTAAGGCTTACACCAAGAGCTAGACAAAGAGATGAACTAAGGTTCCCAAACCTGTTTATGTAGTTAACTGTGTTTATATTTCAGACTGTGCTTGTTAATTTCCTTATGATAATAATTAAATGTTTCAACATAAGCTGCCCCATTAAAGAAGCACTGGCCAATTAAAAGTATATACTGCTCTGAATCCACTTCAGCTACTGAAAACTCTGCTTATATAATGCATTCAGCCAACTTGGACACAATGTGTACTATAAAAAGTTACATCAAACTGACTTTGCCTGAAATGTTTCTAATATGCTGACATAGAGACTAAAATGTTAGTGAACAGATATACTTCATTTAAAAGTGTGTGCTTACTGCTCAACCTCCATTTGCAAACAACAAAAATTTATTAACTCTATGGATGAGGTTTTCAGTCATGAAACAGAGTAATAAAATATTCACATGGAATTCAAACTGGAAACCAGTCTTCTCACTTAGAACCAAATGGAAATCACCGGAGGGGTGTGTTATACACACGTATACACACAGATATTCAAATAAATAAGGTTTGTGTACACACACACAAATAAATACATACGTGTGTGTACGTGTATGTACATATATTTATTTATTTATATTTACTTAATGCTAAGAAACAAAATCACATTTTCTAAGGCCATAGATAGTCATGAGAGATTTTTAGACTGAGGGAAAAAAAAATTAAATTAACAACAATTATAGCAAGCAGAATCTAAGGTCCACGAGGACATTTTTGTTGATTTTGTCAGTATATCCTCAGGGCCTAGAATAGTGCATAGGACACAGCAGGTGAGCAGTAAATATTTGCTGAATGACTAATTGAAACTACTTCTGAAAGCTTAGTATGTATCGAGCACTATTCTCCGTGCTTTACATTTATCATCTCATTTAATCATTGCCACTTTACAGAACAGGTATTATCATAACGCCCATTTACAGACAAGGAAACTAAGGCACAAAACAGGTAAGTTACTTGCCCAGTATCATAGTGCTATTAACCGTGGTGTAGGGATAATAAATATAAAATCTGCATATTAAAATCAAAGCTTTAAAACATCACTATAATCTATTCTGGGGCCCTGGTGGCACAGTGGTTAAGAGCTATGGCAAGCAATGGCTGCTAATCAAAAGGTCGGCAGTTTGAATCCACCAGTCGCTCCTTGGAAACCCTATGGGGTAGTTTTACTCTGTCCTATAGGGTCGCTATGAGTCGGAATTGACTTTACGGCAATGGGTTTGGTTTTTTTGGTTGTTGTTGTTAAACTCAAATCATTAGGTATTTATGGAGAATCTACTATGTGGTTAGCTGGTTTAGTATCTCATAAATACAAAATAACTATATGTTATAATCCCTGTCCTCGAGAAGTTTTACATATTATTATGTTAAATATTTTAGATAAATAAATAATTGTACTTTCCAGAAAATACTTCACTCTATGCTATGTATTTCTATTCCAGGACACAAACCTGAGGAAAACTGAAAATAATTTACCTGGTTCAGTAAGTAAAGAATCTTGGTAAGAATATGCAAACATCTTCGTGGATTGATGGGAGTTTCATTGAATATACGAGCCTATGAAAACATAAAAAAGATTAAAATATAGTATATTTTCTACCTTTTCTATCACAGATTACAGCAAAACAACTTTAATGAAGACTATTATACATTTGAATCACAATATACAAAAACATTAGTTTCCAATGTACCATGGGATATGATAAATTATTAGATGTGACCTTGATTTTCCATTCTATACTTTGTAACTCATTCCCTTAAATCTAATACTTCAACTTTCTGAGCTTTATCTGGTAAATAAGAATCACAATGCTTACAATGAATCACAATATTTATTACATCACGTATATATCATATAAACACAGGGAGCTTAAAATGTATAACTTCCTTCAATGACCTCATACCAAACACCTCTTCTGACACTTAAAATTCCCAACACGTAGCAGAGCCTGTATGTCTTTACATTTCTAAAACCTCTAAACTCTCCCATGGCAAGTAAGCCCTCTTCCTTTTCTCTCAAGTCTACATTCTCTGAACTCAGTTACATTCCTGTCTCATTTTGGATGCCCTGATCACAGCATCCCAGGGATTCTCTGCCCACCATTCTAAAACAGAATAGAAAAGAAAAGGAGCACAATGTACTTGCAAGCCATACCTCCTGTAACACAGCACTCTTCTCCAGATGCTGAAAAGGGTTGGAGCCACTCCCTACATGATAAAACAAAAAAAATGTCTGTAACAGCTGTTCTGCACAAGCATATTTACTTTCACCAGAAGAGCACACTGAATGCTTGGGGAATCTGACTGAAGTGAGGTGACCACTTGGATATCACAGTGGTAATTATTACTAATATGCATGTCAATGGAATAAAAGTATTTTCACTCTGGCACTAGCTCTGTCGTTGCTATCCTGGAAGCTCTTGGACTTCTCTTTGGCTGGAACCCTGCCTGAATGAGAGCGTCTTCTTTCCCTGCCCTCTTGATACAAGAATGTTACAAATATGTCATTTCCACAGCAATTAAGATGAATGAGATGGTAGAGCACCCTGATTCTCCAAAGGCAAGCACTATTTTATGTGCTTATAACATGTACTGAGAGGCAGAAATGAAGAATTTAGCAGAGAATCATAACAACTTAAAAGCTGGAAGGGCCCACAGGGGTGAACGGACCCCACCCTCTCCCACGCTTTGTGAGGGCAGCTGAGAATGTAGAGGTGGCTTGGCCTCTTCCCCCTTTCCACTGGCTCAAAGACGGGCATCAAGACGAAGCTCACTTCTGGATGCCAGAGCACTGAGTTATGTGGGGTAGGTCCCAGGGGAGACTACAAGGTAGAAGGCACCTTAACTTTGTACACATACACACATGCTGTTTCCGTCGACCCCACATCCAAAACAGGGTGCTCCTACTCGGGGCCCAGCACGACCGGCAACCCCACCTCTCAGACGCACGCACTCACTCCTTCCACCTGCCGTGGGCCCGCCTCCTCGCCCGGCGGCCCCACCCCGAGCGGCTCGGCGGGGCTGAGCCGGAGTAGGGGGGACGCCGGGGGGCGGGG